AAGGTACCATGGGATTGCATGGTTTGAAAAACCACACAATGGGTGTATTATTTGTGTAAAAATACGCTATACATAGGGCTAGTTATAAGGATTAAGTTAAGGACAGCAATATTATATATAGTTAAGGTTTGAGGTAATGGAGTTAGAATTACAGAAAAAATGGAAGATACAGTTAGCCTTAGTGGAAGAAATAAGTTCACTAAGTTCCCTTTCCCTCGCACATCACATGGACGTACATCAAGATGGAACCTCTATCAGCCTTTTGGTTCTGGAGTAACTATGATAAACAGAGGTGCCCTAGTAACCTGCATTGGACATGTAGTGTGAGCAAGTAATAAACATTGGTTTTGTTAAGCCACTGAGACTTTGGGATTGTTCATTAATGCAGCATGGCCTAAGCTATCCAAAGTGGATTCAGAAAGCAAAGACTCCTAGCAAGTTGTTGGATTGCAAACAGATTTAAGAAGCATGAGAAACCACAAACAAACAAACAAGTATTTCCTTTCACCTCCATTTGCCCTGATTTTCGCTAAAGAGACAGCTAACCAGGTTATTTTGGGTTATGCAGATAGTGAACCAAGTGGTGAGTGTTTTCCACCCAGTGAATACACAGTCTGTTACAGACATGAAAGGCTTCTTCCCTGGATGCTGGAAAGTTTGTGGACTGACAGCTCCCAGCTGTAAATCCTCTTTGGGAGTTGCCTGACCTTGGGACAAGTCTGAAAGGTAATCTCAGATTCAAAGCTCACCATGGGGGTCAGACAAGTTATTGCTGTCCCTGTATCATGGGCCAACTTCCCCCTCTGCCCAATCCTGTTTCTTCTCTTTGCCTACGCATGTGGGTCCCAAGAACACTTCCTGACAAACCTCTTGTGCACCGATCTTCATCTCAGATCTGCATCAAATTTCCCAAAACTATTTGAGAACTACTATGATGCCACCTACTCTTGGTGTTGCCTATTAAAAAAGCTTCTTTCTAATACATCCAACTCTCTAGGTAATATTTAATCTATGTTTGGGAAGAATATACAAGGAAAAATGGGCCTCAACCTTATAAATTGCCTTGTGATAGGTGGGAGGCAAAATAGCCCTGTGTGGGTATGAGAAATTTTATTGTTACTTGATGGCAAGAAGCCTGGTGCTTCTTTCTCTCGTCAGACTGTAGAGACCTTTCAATCCTATGGAACAAAGCACTTCAGCTTGCCCTTGCTCACCTCCACTTCTGTTGATAGCAGTGACTCCATTAGCGTGTCTTGAGAAATTTCGGTTCCTTTTCATTGCCTCATTCTTGAGCAACGATAGCTCCTAGCTCTAGTGGTACAAGATATTTCTGGCCATGGGCAGTGGTGTTAGGTTGTACATCTCTCCCTTTTTCACTCTGGGCACCAGTGATCCTATTGTTCCAGTCTTTATTAAATCTTTACTAAAGACAGTTGCCGTTCAGTCGATTCCAACTCATAGTGACCCTATAAGACAGAGTAGAACTGCCCATAGGGTGTTCAAGGCTGTAAATCTTTATGGAAGCAGACTGCCCCATCTTTCTCCTGCACAGCTGCTAGTGAGTTCAAACTGCTGAACTTTTGCTTAGCAGCTGAATGCTCTAACCATTATCCCACCAGAGCTCCTTTTTGAAAGAGAAGGCCAATGTGTTGGGCCATCCTTAGCTCCAGGTATGGAGGAACAGAGTGGCTTATGTAGTATTGTGACTTTGATGACTGCAGAAGTATATAAAGTCATTTGTGATAGAGGTAAATTAAGGTGATCTGCCACACAGCTATGACTGAATAATGGAGAATTGTAAGGGCCATTTTTGCAACAGGAACAGGTAATACAATGCCTGCACATGTTGGTGTTCAATAAATATCTGTTACATGGAGAATGACCACTAAATACTGAGGATAAAACCATCAAAAAAGATAGACCATGGTCCTTTCTGTGCTTGGGGAGCTTAGAGTCTGATGGGAATAAGATAGTAATAATACCGACAGCAAGGAGAGCATGTGAGCCACCTGAAGCCAATACTTGGGTAGAGAAGGCACCCAAGATGATTGGGAGGTGCAATGATTCTGCTCATGAATACTCAGAGATATTTTCCTTGATGATTGTTTTTGTTGTTCACACCTCTTAATTGCCCCTCTTCTGGGTGTTATAGTTAATCAAGAAGTGTGATATATTCTGGTTGCATTTTCCTTTGTAAATTTATTTCAAAAGCTTCTATTTCATCTTCAAAGAAAAGGAAGTGAAGTGGTATATTTTCCCCTCCAAAGATAAAGGAAAAAAAAGACACAGGACATATTACACAATATTTAATAAATTTAATAAATTAACAGGAAGTATCACAAAAACCTGCAGTGGATAACTACAGGAACCAGGAATAAGACAACACTTTGCAACCATTCACAAAAAGTACCATTTGACAAAGAAGAAGATTTACAGGAAATAATATAAGGCAGTCTGTTGCACGTGTCTTAAACAGATATACATATATAATAGTACATCAAAATGATTTGCTGGACAGTAAATTCACCATGTTTACATTTATCACATGGACTTCTTTTTTTAAAACATTTATAAAAGTTTGTAGGTTTAACATCGAACTGTAAGATTTATATCCAAATGAGTATGCTTGTTTCATACCAAACTGCACGGAATTTACGAATAGCACACAATTTGAGGATAATCACTCTGTTGGATACTATTAAGCACTACTACTTGATGACATAAGAATTATTAACAAATGTGCTATAAGCTATTATCATTCAACTTATTGCTAGTGCTTTTGAAAATTTGTGGTTTCTATTTTATTTCTTTGTAAAACATGTGCTATGAGCTTGCCCTGATAGTTAAGAAATCAGATGTTTCCAATTTTCTCTAATACTCACAATCCTTCTCATCTGAATGCATGATCTCTTTAAGGACTGCTGAAGGATTTTCTTTAGTCCTTTTTATATCAGCTACCTTGCCCTCCATTAGTACATATCGATGGATTCATGCAACGTACATGGCACACATGCAGGGCACCATCTGTATGGGCAGAACTCATGCTGAGTGCATGCTATGTTTCTCCAGACATTTTCATCTCAGTAAGAATTAGATCAAATCATTCAATTTCATATAATTATTTTAACATGCAATTCAACAGAGCTAACAGGCAGGTAGACTTGACCTTCGTGTTATATTTGGGCATGCTCAAGCAATTGACTGACATTTGGCAGTGTTGCAAATCAAGTAGAGACTGTATGAGTTTCCTCAAATACAGTACCTCTCCCACTGCCCCTAGGACAGACTGTTGGATTTATCTATGCTGTGTGTTGAGAACACACACCAGGAGTTTTAGAAATTCAGATTCTGCAGTCACCAATTTCAAGAAACTAAGAGGCACACTCTAAGGTGTGCAAGTAACTGTCAGGCATAAGAAATAGCATCATGAATTCTTCAGAAATTTATCCACAGTTGTGTGAAATGGACACACATGGAGATACAGTTACTGGAAACACTTGTATACTCTGCACACAGCATAGACTTAATGGTCTGACTTTAGCAATGCTTGAAAACCTTTTATGGTTAACAAACTATTAAATGGTACTGAATTCTTAGAGAGCAGTAGGCCCACGAATGAAACGATGGCCAATACTTATTGTAACACAACACTATATTTTAACAAAGATTTAAACTTCTGGTACATAATTGCAGTACAATGAAGAGCTTGCCACTTTCACAAATTAGCTGCAGCCTTTTCCTGCACTAGAGAGTTTGGAAGGATCTGAAAATGTGATCAAATTTGTTTGAATCTCAAATGGAAACTCTGAATTTCTGTTTTTCCCAGAGTTCAGTAAAAGCTTCTTTTAATTAATTACTTTTATTTTTTCACATTCTAAGGGCCTAATTCTGTAGTCCTTAATCAAGTAAAACTTCCCAGGTTTCGATCATCTATGCTTCCAATACAAGTTTTACTCAAAAATGGACTGCGAAATTAGGTCCTATAGATAGAGGTACCATAATTAAGAAACTATTTTAATAAGGCTCAAAATACTAATTTCACTTTGTGTGTAGCACACGAATTTCCAGGATCCTGAGATCAAAACCGAATTGATGTTGAATCCTGGATTGGGAAACAGCTCTGGGATCTCATTTCCCAGTTTAATCATGGAATTAGGTATTTACTAAGGACCAGAATGAAACCACTAATTCCAGTTTGCTTTTCAGAATTGCTAATCAGAATTTGAACATTGTCCTTAAGAAGTGAAAAGCTATTGGTGTATATATCGCATAACATCCTTCCACTTCTGTAGTCCTGGTTAACCAGCTGCTATGTTAAAATACCACTATGTTTGGGGACAGACATTGCAGTAAAATACCAACACAACATTCTGACAATGTCAAATTTTGCCCCTATATGTAACAACAAGGCTAAGTTCTGCCTTTGACTCACTGATAGATGTGATAGAGTATCAGAAGACAGAACCTATCTTACTGTGTTTATGTGTGTACATGAGCTGAGCAAGAATTTAAAGTACATATTTACTGTTAACCTGGAAAAAGATTCCACCGAATTTGATAATTTTGGTGTGGTTGAAATACAACCACTATCATGTGCATCATTCTGGTCTCCTGCAAATGCCACCTGAGATAAACATCAACATTTCCTTATGCACGAAAAGAAAAAGGATGAAAAGAAGGAAGGGAGGGAGGGATGGAGAAAGGGAGGGAAGACAAGGGAGGAAGGAAGACAAAGAAGATAGAGAAGGAAGGAAAAGAATTAACATTCTATTCATCAAGAAATCAAAATAAGTTATTTCTTTATCTACTATGAACAGTAAATATAGAACCCTAAATCTCACTATTATGCATGATTGTAAAGTACAGGATTGCAAAGCTATATAAAAAACACTTTTGTAAGACAGCAATATTTACATTAGTTATGACCAACAGAAAAATTAAAGAAGAAAAATTTCCTACACTTGTAGTGTTAGTGTAGGACAAGACTGTGCTGCTCTCTCTTACACGCTACTAATCCTTTCACTAACTACATTGGAGGGATTCACTGGTAGTTCCAAATTCTCAACTTGCATTTCTATACCGGGCTCATGGTCATTGGCTTTCTTAATCACCGGTTCATTGGTATGCCGGTAAATGTTAACATTAAGCTCCCTCCCAGACAATGCAGTGGCTGCAACTCTCGGAATTTGTCTAACAACAGGAGGTTTCTTTTCTGTCTTATAATTGCAGCGCAAATAATTGGAGAAAGCCCTTCGGTAAATTTTGTTGAAGAGCGTGTACACCAGAGGATTAATTCCTGAACAAACATAGCCAATCCAAACAAAGACATTCAGAAGCTTTTCCATGAGCTTTTGGTTACAGGCCTTCCCACAGAGAACGGACAGGATATTGGTAATGAAAAACGGGCACCACATGACCAGAAAGACAAAGAAAACAATCCCAAGGACTTTCGAGGCTTTCCTTTCATTGTTGATAGCCTGCATGGTGCCCCTAGGACGTCGCTCTTTCTTCTTTCTTCGGCGTGGGTTCAAATCTTGGTTAGGGTTTGCGGGGTTGTCTTCATCAGCGGTATTCCCCTTGCAGCACTTCAAGAAATCCAGGCTTATTCCAGGTGGTTCCTCGGTGTGGCCGTGCAGTAACATCAAAGCTTGTCTTCGAAGAACGTGAATCGTTAGACAGTAGGTAATCACCATGATCGTCAACGGTATGAAGAAAGCTACGAAGGACCCAATAAGAACGAAATTTGGGTCGTTCAGCACGCACGTGGTGTTGTTTACGAACACCTTGTCTTCGTCCCTCAGTCCAATCACTGGGATAGGAACTGATACACCTACAGGAATTAAAATAAAAGGTAGAAGAACATCGTTACAGCATATTGAATGGGCTGAATAGGTTTGTACTATAGCATACTCTTATTTGCATTTTATTGAAGAGACTTTAGAGCTCATTTTTGTTGAAAGCTATTCACAGCATAAATTGATAGGAGCATGAAACAGTAGTAGTATGATCGCAGAAAATGACTGCCTTTTTCATGTTAGGAATGCCTTCTCCTCTCCAATTTCTGTAGAAGGCATAGAATTACTATTAGACTGTTGTAAATATGGTTGTGTTCAAGAGAGGACTGTACATGTTTTGCTCAATTTACAGTTCCTAGAACTGTCCTGGCTCATAGAAGACATTCAATAAATATTTGTTGAATGAATGAATCAATTTACACCTGTACTCAGTGACATCAATGAAACAACCATTCATTCTTTCAGCATGTTTTTTTCCAAATTCAATAACATGATGTGTATACAACCTATCAGAGTAATAATAGCACATCAAGGTGGCCTGGGATGAGTTTGAGATGAGTTTATAGCTGACAGCATTCATTTACATTTTCCCCTTTCCCAAGGAATGGGGTGAAGAAGAAGAAATTTTATGCCTGAATTCCTTGGAGACAGGACCTGAGAGTTCTCGAATTAATGAGAGAGAGGACAGCATGGGTGACCAAATGTACAGGGAGTACGATAGGACCACTAAGCAGAAATAGTCTGTTTTCAGAAGCTACAAGGGGTCTTTTTTTTTAAGCAAAGGTTTTTGTTAGACTCTGGGCATAAGCAGTTTGGGTTTAAGGATTAGAGACCAAGTGAAATGCAGAGTTGGGGAGAGATGCAGTCCTCCCATTTCTGAGCAGAACATTGAGCATTTTTGTGGATTGAGAATAATACTGAGAGGTGGGACCCTACCTAGGTAAGCATATCCTTCAATAAATAAGCTTGCAAGTAGAAAATATCAACTTGGGAGGTGGGAGTAGAAGGTGACCTTGTTCAAGAGCGTAAGTAAGAAACCTAAGAGCTTTCAGAAACAGCTACGGTAGATCTTGAAGAAGTCGTGCATCAATAACTAGGGATAGCCTACATATGAAATTCCAAATTTAATGTTAATTTGTCCTCCCTTGTGCCCTTAGAATATTGAAAGCTGGGAAAAGTCAGATTTCACTTTTGGAATTCTATCATAGATTATTAGGAATGCTGAGCTAATGTGTATCTGAACCATTAACTGTGAGAAGAGAGAAATAGATTCTCAGAGAACATTGCTGGCTTTAGAGAATAGCAATGAACTTTGATGTTCCTGAGACATAAAGACTCTATCTATTGCTTTAACGTCTGTAATCAGATAGAGTGTTTTGCTGGATTATCAAGAGAGAAAATGACCAACACTTCTTTACTAGAATTTGCTGTGAATGCTGATCTCTGGGAAGATATAGGAAGAGAGTGTTTGGAAAACTATCTTTAAGCCCTCTTTTTTGAACACTCAATTTCTAAAATGACTGGCTTTTTTTCTAGAGAAAAAGGCCACACAAGAGTGTTAGATGCAATAAAAGATGTGACAAAGACTCCTTGGGGGTATTTAGCCCATGCCTACAACTCTGAACCTAGGTATGCCAATCAAGAAAGTAAGAAAGACTGTGAAAATTAGGAGACACTGCAAACTGAAAGTATAATCAGGTAAAAACATTGTCAGATCCTGGTAGGGACTTTTAGACCCTGGGTAGAAGAGGCGCAGGTATTAGAAGGGGAACATAAAAAGTAATTTCTCATGAAGTTTGAATGAAATGCTTGGGAGAACGTCAAAAGGCCTTTTTGGAATACAGGGAGCAGCAGAACCACACAGATTACATTTCTTAAGAGTTATAAAATGCTACGTAAGAAAACTGCCAGCCTTTATTCCAAAGTAAAATATACAAGGCCATCTCTAGAAAGAGTACTGATCAAGTTTGGGAGAAAGAAGTCAGTACTATCTTACTCTTAATGAAATGTTTTAGTGAAGGGTTAGGCTGCAGGAAATTTTCTGGAATTAAGGAAGACCATATGGGATTAAGAAAAGAAATAAGGGGATCTTAAAATTAAAAAAAAAAATTAAGAGGAAAAAATTGGAGGGAGAACCTGTAGAATAAGAGACTTAAAAGACCTATCAAGCAAATCATCATATATGAACCTTCTTGGGATCTTGATGTAAACAAACTTTTAAAACTATTCATGACATTCATAACTCAATTAGAAATATGAACAGTGATTGTTTTTTATGACATTAAAGAATTAATTGATTAATAATTAATATCATTAATTTTGTAAGTGTGATGATAATATTGTAGTTATGTAGAAAAGGAGTACTTATATTTTTAGATACATATACTAAAATATTAGTGGAATGTGGGTATGGATGAAATGAGACAGTCCATAAAAAGATAAATGGTGAAGCTGGATAACGAGTATATTGGGCTTTATTATATAAATGTATCTACTTTTGTAATCATAGGAAGTTTCCTAACAAAAAGTTCTGAAAGTTCTAAAAAATGGAAAAAAGTGAAAGAAGGCATGGGGGCATGGAGGTTCTTTCTGAAAACATCCTCAGATCAAAAAGGTCACCAAGACTTAGTGGCAATGGCTAACCTTGAAAGTGATTACTTCTGGAGCAAAATGCTTGGACTTCAAAGTGGAAACACTTGTCACTTTGATATAATTGGAGAGAAGAAGGCCATTTTCTGGCAGAATACGTTAGAAAGCTCTGTTGTGCTTTTTCAGGATCCCACAGTAAGTAACAACAAGGGAAGAGTGATCCAAAAGAGGAGGGGCACTTCTCCCTCAAACAACGAGGTCACTAGAGTCTGAGGCCAGAAGACTTAGTCTAAAGAATTGAACTTCGTTCGGATCAAACCTTCCACTTCTTGCTTTTAAGCTTAAAATAGGGGCCTGCTTCCAGCTTCTACACGACCTGGAAGGGACCTTCTCAGACACTGGAGGAGTACTGACTGCGGTAGAGACACGATGCCCAGGAACCAAGTGCTGGAGTAGATTCCGTTCCGACAGGAAACGCTGCTCAATCTTCCAGGTACTCCCAGAAATTCCTAGAGTCCTGGGGAAGACCTCAGTCACTGGCCAAAAGATTATTGAAACTCAGCATTCCTCAGAGCCCTGCTCTGGAATAGTATTAACTTGCTTCTTTAAAAGATGACTTGTTTATTCATTTTCCTAGAAGGGACTTTTGTGCCGAAGTGTAAACTTTATCAAGAGTAAACAAGAGCGGATGACAGCGACGTTCCACTTCAGCGGAAGCTGTTACTGGGTATGTGAGGCTAGTTTTGTCCCCTGGCACTATTTGTATAATTTCACGTACACTGAAGTAAGAATGATTCTAACAGCTGCCATTTATTGAGTCTATCTTATGTGCCAGGCACTGAGCCATGAATGTTACTGGCATTTCAGATTGAAGAGGTATTACCTCAATTTGGTTAAAAACTGCGTGAGACTGGGGTTATTTGGTGAAGTAGTTTAGCCACGTGACCAACGCTAGACTATCATAGTATATTTTAATATTTTTAAAAGAAACTATGAATGCAGTCAACAAAACAAGTAGAATTTAAGCTTTTTTTTTTACAATATCAGGTAATTATAAATAGTAATAAAAGCAGCATACATTGCACAGATTATTCATTCAGTAATTAAAAGAAAATTAAAGACATGTATCAGCAGTTCTCAAAGTGTCGTTGGAGGACCCTGCGGGTCTCTGAAAACCTTTTAGAGGGTTTTCTATGATTCCCTTCCCAAATATTTTTCTTTAGACTGTATCTTCCTCATAAACTTCAAAGAAAACAATGTAATGCAACATGTAGATTTCAGATACAGATATGAGACTCCCACTCTCTTTCTACCAAAGTTTACATTAAAGAGATTTGCAAAAATGTAAAGCAATGCCTCTTTTCTCTTTAGTATATTTGTTTTGAAAAATATAGTTAGATTTCATAAAGATATGCCAGTTATATTTAACATGAGATGAGTTTATTGTTGTTATTTATAGTGAAAGGACACATAGATATTTTAAACATATTTTAGTTTTAATGTCTAGTACAATAAATATCACTAGATATAACTCACATAAACAAAAGCTCATTGGAGTCTTTATTTAGTTTTAAGAATAGAAAGTGCTCCCGACACCCAAGAGTGTGAGAACTGCTGTTCTATGTTACTGTAAGGAGTTACTTATTACTTAAGCAGCAAATGCATCATTCTTAGCATTTTTCAAACTGCAATTTGTCGATCAGTAGAAATTCAGGTGATATTATAATGCAAGGTAGTTATAAACAGCAACAATACTGGCAACAAAATACTTTGCATGCATTATTGAATTCATTCTTATAAACATTCTGAAAGGCACATGTTATTTGATGAAGTTAACCTCAGAGCAGTTAATTAAGCTCAGTAAATATGAGCAATCTTTAGTATTATTGAAATATTTCCTTCAGCCAAGGAGGGAATAATTGAAATTAAGCACCATTAAAAATATCAGGTACCAAGAGCTACAATTAGAATAAGAAAAATAACTATCTTTTACTGAGTGCTTCCTTTTTGTCGTGGATCGAGCCAAGGTTTTTATATCTTTTTATATGTAGTTGTTAGATGCGACAAGCCAATTTTTGCATAATAGTGACCCCCTATCAGAGGGAAGGTTAGGCAATCTACTTCCGTAGTGATACTGCCTCAGAAACCAAAGGAGGGGTCGCTGTGAGTCGGTCCGACTCCATGGGACATAATAACAACAACAACAGTGACCACCTATGACAAATTAGAACAACCTCATAGGCTTTTCTAGGCTGTAGTTTTTGTGGGAATATATCATCAGGTTTTTCTGCCTTGAAGCTGTTGGGTAGGTTTGAACCACCAAACTTTCGGTTAGCAGCCTAATGCTTAACAATTGCGCCACCAGAGCACCTATTCTTTTCATATTTCCATCTGCTGTCTTTATTCAATCCAGACAAAAAAAATAAAGGAATTAGTAGGAGAAATC